AGCTTCAGCTCCTGGCGAACAATTTCGCCCTCAAAAGATTCGGATTTCGGCTTCAGGGGGGACGAAACCGGGACCCAGTTTCCCGGGTCAATGCACTTGTGCACGGGGTTTCACCGCGCGCCTTGCAGATGATCCTTGAAAGCGTTAGTGCTGACTGGGTGCCGATTTCGATTGAGACAGGTTCACCACCGATGTTTCCTAAGCCGGAGGGCATCAGCCCTTTAACACACGCCGTGTCTGGCTTTGCTGTCAAGTGGCTTGACCTCCGTGCTCCTGAGACTGCGTGGTGCCAGTTAAGTCAAAAGCTGCTTGAACCTCACGAGCGATGTGTCAAGCCGTGTTGCAGAGGATTTCATCGATCGCCTTGCAGTCGACTTCCGCCGTGTGTTCCTGTTTGAGCGAGTGCTGGCAGGGTGCTACTGACTAGCGCCTGGGCGACGCATCTCGACTCTGGGGCCGGTGCAGTTGGAGTTGCCGGGCCGTCGCAGCCTCCAGCGCGTCCATCATCCCATACCTGAGACAAGTCCCGAAGCGCACTCTGCAACTCCCGGGCCTCGAAGGGGCCAAGTCGCTGTGTCGAGTTCCTCCTCCTGTCTCGGAGGAACTGCTGCCGATGATGATGGAACTGCTTCCTTGGCAAAAGGCTGCGAGGCATCTGTGATGCTCTTGATACTTCCCACTCTGGCAGCAGACACATCTTGGAACACCTGTGCGAATGCCTGACCAGACCACCCTGCAAATGCAGGAAAATGCAGGGAATGCTGGGCAATCGATCACCTGGTGCAATTGTCCTGACTGCCCGGCTACTGTACAATGGAGCTGTCAAAACTCATCGGCGTTCTTTTGTCTCTGCCAGGCTCCAGGGTTTGTACGAGATTGCAATGTTTGCATACTTCGATGCTGCGCATTGTGCAATGATCTAAAGACCGGTCGCTGTGCGAACTGCTGCACGCACGATTAAAACAGGGGACACTGCATAGACAGCACTGCAGCCTATCCTCCGAGGCAGGCACGCAAAGGGGAATCCGAAAACAGCCATCGCAAACCCAACAAATGGACCTTGACTGACCCCTGAACCCCAAAGCAGCCATTCACCCTGCCTTCAAGCAGCTCCAATGCTGAACATGTCCCTGGCCCAGTGGTGCAGTCAAAGAGTCCCGCCAGCCATCGATTTTGTGGCGAACGCTCCAGAGATGTTGGACTTCGTTGCCTAGTGCATCCAGTGTCCCATGCGATTAGTCGTCGAGATCTGCGGAGCTTCTGCAACTCTTGCATCCATGGGGCACGCACTGCTGCCAGTGAGTCCGACTTGCGGCGGTGAATGTTCGACTGTGCAAGACATCGGTGCAGCAGAGTAAGGGGAGCAGTAAAGACTCGCAGTGCCACGGCGCGGAAGTCCCAGGATGGAGTGGCAGTATGTGGCTGTGGTGTCTTCCGAGGCTCAGAGGGTTCCAGGGACTCGGCCTTCATCACGAGGCTGCGGGATCCGGCATAGGCAGGGAGTGCCCAGCTTTGTCCACCTGGCACAGCTTCCGTTTGGGCAGGGGCGGCAAACGCTTCTCCGACACCACGTGCCTACTTCTGGTGCCACGCCCGGAAGAGTAGCAGGCAAGTCCTGGGCAAGATGAAGCACTCCGTGAAAGATAAGTCGCATAGGCAAGGGGATCTGATCCGCCCAGATCAGCTCAGGATCTTCGGAAGGTTCCTGAAAGCAAGGATCTCTTCGCTCTCTTACACTAGGAAATGGGCAGCCGCGACAGCGTGCCTTGGCGATCTCCGGAGCCTGAACCTGTCACGCAGAGAAGGTCAGTTTTGGGTTTAGGGTTTAGGGGCCAAGGCCGTCCTGGATTGGCTCTCTCGACAGCCCCGAGGCACCGTCGGAGCCTGTCCGGGCGCGGATGCCCAGTCTTCCAGACTCATGCGCTCGCAAAGACCTTCAACGAAAGACTCTTACCGATTTCTTAGACGGTAGGCCTCCACGTTTCAAGCTTGACTTGGAGCCCATTCGTTGATGCCCTTCTCCGGACCTTGGATGACACCGTCTCGTTTGGGGGCTGGTGAGGGATGATCTCAGCAGCTGAAACCAAGAAGCATTTTCGGATCAGCGGTGCGTGTGCCTGAGGGGGGTAGGAGGGTTCTGTAAGTAGGTCATGCTGCAGAGCAGATGCAGCCAAGAAGCCCAGCCCAAGCGCAAATCTGACGTCTTCGACGGCCACCATCTGATGGGACAAGCACCTCGTGGTGGCTTCCGGCTTCCCATCACTTCATGCGTTCGGGGAATAGGTACAGGTAGATCTGCACAGCTGGCCCTCGGACTTGAATGCCTAAATACTTCAGCCAAGCCCGCATCTCCATCCTCTGCACTGCACTCTGCAGATTCCCCAGAATCTGGCGGATATCAACGAGGCCAACGACCTTGCAGGGAAGACTGTCCCTGCACACTGGCGATGCTTTGCTAGCACCCAGCCTGTTCGTGGATATCGTCAATTGATCCCATGGAGCCCTTGAGATGATTCTGAGTGAAGTGGCTGAAATCCTGGAGAGCATGATACAGCAACTCTCGAACACAAATGCTAGGGAAGCAACGACCCGTCGTCCTGAGAATAAGTTGCGGGCGCGACGAAGGCAATGCCTTTGGACGGGTCAGTTTCGCTCGCGAAAGAACTGGCTAGTCAGACTCTCTGCACCGTGGTGGATACCAGAATTCATCTCTGATACATAAATCGTAAGTAAAGCAATTATTGTGGCCGAGACTGCTAGAAGATGCCGAGACCACGCGGCCCATCGCAGTTTCGAAGTTCGGCGAGCGTCGCTCCGTCATTCTCCGCCGTTGGCTCTATGTGGCAAGCAGCAGCCACATCAAGCCCACTGCTACAACACTACGTCCACACCACCACGTCTCTGATGACGTGTGGCCATGAAGGGGCTTCTTCCTTCATGAAGTTTCAGGAAGCTGGCTCAAGGGTTGTGCGGGCTCTCGCAGCAACTCCGGGCTCTCATACCTCACGTTTGTCTGTGGGCGTTGCATCTTGGAGCTTCTTGGCTCTGTGTGACTCCTTGAACCAGGTATTCTCTGCACGGCAGGAACATAGGAATAGGAACCATGAAACATGCATGGTTCCCTCACTCGGAGCTGCCTGAGCACTTCAAGGACAGTGTTGTGTGTATTGGCTGACCCTGTTGGCGGGCTGCAGTGGGCAGATCAATTCACGCACATGGTCTGCCCTCCTGCCCATTGGACCACAGGGCCAAATCGCAACTGGCCCTCGGCGCACAGCCGCGAAATTCGCAATGTAACAATAAAATATACTAAAATCGCGACACGACACACAGCCGAAGGTTAAAGACTTCGAGTAGTGCCCCGAACCTCGACCAACTCGACACCAAAAGGGTACCATCCTTTCAATGTTCACTGAGCTGCCGGCAGAACACGCGTTGCCATGCAGCCATGCTCCAAACATGGGCGTGACAGAATCCAGTCTACAAGCAAGGTCACCTAGAACAGTCAGTAAAAGCGTCTATGTGCTGGGCCTGCGAGTCTGTTGCGGGCTAAAGTGCAAACGCAGCACGGGGTTTCCAACTCAGGCTTTCTTTTTGGACTCTTGCACCCCGCGAATCGCGGAACGCAGGGACACAGTCTCCAGCAGGTGTTGTTGCGGCTACTTCAATGGTATGGCGATTGCGCAAGCCTGTGGCTGTATGTCGACATGGGCTGCGCAACATGGAGGCTTTGAGAGGAGCTTGCAAACAGACACAAGCAGATGTCAGGGGCGACTAGAACATGCGAACTGCCTCCCTGAACCGAGCCGCCGCGCCTGCTCTGCTGCGCCCCGAGCAGCTGCAAAGAGGTCCAAGTTGTCCGAGACCCCAGAAGCGGACTGTTGGGATCCAGAGCATTCCAGAAGGCTCACGAACAAATGAATCACTTGCCCGGCTTTTGCAGAGCTTGGCTCGCTCCAAGCTTAAACCCCGTGGTTGTCACTTCTAGCTGTCTCCGGGCTTCCACTATCAGGCTTACAGAAGCATCGTGCGGGCCAGGAAGTTGTTCGAATCAGGCATGCCAGAGCCGACTGTAGCTTGTCATGGCAGCCCTGTCAAACATGCCAACCTCCGCATGGGTGAACAGCTCGCCGATGCCGCCTGCTAAGCTGCCTGCAATAGACAGTGAAAACTGCCTTCTATTCAGGTATTTCAGGTCTGGTTCGACGTGTTTACCAAAACTTCATTCAGGCTTGCTGATTGTTGCTTCAGAGCTTCTTGCATTGCTTGAGATGACTGAAGCCCTGAATCTACAGGAACTGGACACATTCAGAGTGCCACTCAACACGAAGATCCTGTCAGTGACGGGCCATGACTTTCGGCAAAATTTGGTGTGGGATGGCAAGGGCAAGGTGCAGTTGGGGAGGGGGTAGAGTGCAAGCAAGGAACGACTGCGAAATAAAACGTCCAACATGACTTCCGGCCAAGCCAAGCAGTTTGCGCAAAACAAGAACGCCATCAACCGACAAGCATGATAGCCGCAATAGGGGTGACACCGTGTGACACAGCAGTCCGCATGATGGTAACACAAGCAGCATAAGAAAGAAACAAAGCACAAGACACCATATACATCATCAATAGTGCCTCAGAACAAACTAGTAATTAAAGCAGTATTCAAAGGACTTGGCATAGGAATTTCAGTTGGAATCGCAACGGTGACCACTTGACACATGAATGATAGTCAGCTGCCGTATTTACAGAATTTCCCGAGTCGAAGCCCAGGACTGAGGGCTTCTTGTCTCAAGGGCTCCTGCTGCCCCGTAGCAATGCTCACGGGTTCATGGTTGAGGGTATAGGGTTTAGGCTACGTAGGGCAGTGACCCGTTGGCTCCCGTGAGCTCTGAGATTCTAGTCGGGTGGTGTGGGCTCCCGGCAGCCCTTGCATGAGCCCAACATCACACGGGACAACGAGCGGATTTCTGGGGGAATAGGTCAGGTAGTAGTAGATTTTACACGGTACGGGAATCGCAAAAAGAACTAAAACCACAACCAACTCCCCCTTTCCGGGTCGTTCCAAGCAAGATTGCCGTCGGTGCCTTAGTCATGAGGCGACCATCGATGCCTAAGAGAAATGTCTGCTGCTTCCTCCCGCAACAGGAACGCATAAGAGGAACGCATTTCTCGTGTTTGAGCAAAAACATCACATATTCGAACAATTTTACCACGATAATGTAACAGAGTTCTGCTGGCGTTTTTTGTTGGGGTTTTCGCGGTTTCAGTTCTGCAAAGACGCCAGTCAAGGCTTTACGACACGAAAACAGTATGCATCGCAGCTGCAAGAGCAACGGCAACAGCAGGAAGCTGCATGGCTTGAAGGGCGGCAAGACAAGACTGATCATCGGAACAATAACAAGAGTAAAAGCGTCGTGCTTAACAACAATGATAGTAAGAGTAATAACAATGATATGGGTAATAAAGCTAGTTTTTCCATAAAACAATAACAATAATAACAACGGCAACCAACCAACCAAACAAGCAACAAACAACCAACAAACAACAACAAGCAACAACAAACAACAACAACAACCACAACAACCACAACAACAACAACAGCAACAGCAACAGCAACAGCAACAGCACCAGCAGCAGCAGCAGCAGCAACAACAACACCAACACCAACACCAACACCAACAGCGACACCACCACCACCACCACCAACAACAACAACAACAACAAAAAACATAAACAACATCATCAACAACAACAACAACCACGACGACGACGACGACGACCAAGAAGAATGAAGGCAGCCATCGAAGCCAAGATGGCAGGATGTTCTCAGAAGCAATTCTAACAACAACAGTCGCAGTAGAAAAACGAAAAGCATCAGCAGCGGTAGCTGCATCTGCAATTGTGCTAGTGGTAGTGGCAGCGGTAGGGGTGGTAGTAGTGGTAGTAGCAAGTAGTGTAAGAAGTAGTAGTAGTAGTAGTAGTAGTAGTAGTAGTAACAGCAGCAGCAGTAGCAGCAGTAGTACTAGCAGTAGCAGCAGCAGTTGCAGTTGCAGTTGCAGTTGCAGTTGCAGTAGCAGTAGCAGTAGCAGTAGCAGTAGTAGTAGTAGGAGGACGTCATTTTTCCTTACCCTTGCTTGCTTTGTTATTAATTACATCCAAGGGCCGCCAGGATTCGTTCG